TGTTCTTCAATGTTTTTATGATATTCTTTTACTGACTTTGTTTAAACTGATTATTCATTAAAAGTGGAAATTGTAAATTTTTTGAGAAGTACGATTTAATTTTGACATAAAAAGTAATATAAATTAGGTATAAAGTAGTATAAGACCAGTGTTTAAGGGTCAGAAAGGGTCAAATTACTGATAGGAAACATGTTAATTTACATATACCAATACTTATTTTTCTACTCTTACAACCGTGCTTTATATGTGATATTTCTTCATGTACCTATGAATTCATGAAGTCACTTCATCAAGAATATGATAAGTGTAAAGCCAAATTTCACGTGAACAAATAGATCTGAAGTACCAACCTAAATACTAAATAAATGTTTTATGTCAATATGTATTGAATAATTTGGTTCAGTTTTAATTAGATTGTAGAGTAAAGTAGTTTATAATTTTTTACACACGTCAATATTACAAACTTTAAAATATTAGACATTTAAGTAAAAATATAAAAAACACATAAACATATAATATAGTAATTTTTATTGTTATGTTGGTACATTTGTTACACTGACAAATATGACACAAAACTTCATGAATTTATTCACAAATGTAAAACCATTTTTATCTTAAAAAAAGGTAGATATAAAGCGCACTTTAGCTTTGTTTTCTGCTCTTGCCATTGTTTTCGTAATTTTACTGATTATAAACTTTAATAATCATCGTTTATTATTGATTTTATTTCAAACAAAACGAGCAGTCTATACTATCCTAACTTAATTAGTTTTTTAACTGTCATATCTAGCATACGCCTAACAATTAAAAAAAAACTAATTATTATTATTACCTATTATACCAGTTGCCCGCTTCCTTGACGTTCGCACCGCCCCTGAAAGTCAAATAGAGAAGCACCGCATTGATTGATGCGCTGATTGGTAAATCAATATTTATAATGAAAGTACCCAATTAAACATTTTCGTTTTAATAACGTTTTGTGAAAATTTATCTAGTTTATTATCTCATCAGATTCGAGTCCAAAAATGGTAACGTCGTGCAGGGTCAATGTTGATTTGTGAGTAGGTACACACTCAAAAATGATTTAACATGTTTTTGTTAATAGTTTATAAAAGGTTTTTATTAGAACATTTAGAACTGTCAATCAATAGATTTCAATGATAAAATAATGGAATAAAAATTATAATAATATACTAATTTGGTACTCATATATACATTTAAGGAGTAATGATAAGTATATTAATACAGTTAGTGGGATCTATTTCTTAAAGAATTTGAGATTGGTGTCCTTCACTGATGATTAAAATCAATTTTTAATACACGAAATGCACAAAAAATTGGATATAAATGACCGAGTTTCGAACCGGAACTAGTTTGAAAATGCATGATACCACTGTTTTTATGGCAAAGGTCTATGTACAGGATTGTTTAGAGCAGAAAAAAAGTAAATATTGATACCTTCTTTTCTGAATTTTCACTAGATTTTAGTATGACCACCCCGAAAAATCTCGAGTACAATACATCATAAAATGTAAATGAGCAAACCTTAAGGGATTAACCAATAATTCTATACCTCAGTGATGGGGAACACGAAATTTCTTTAATATAAAAAATAGTAAACTGTCAATATTAAGTATCCACATTTATTTTTATAAAAAAGTACCTATACTAGATATTATATTTCCTTAAAATTTATTAATAAATATACACACAACAAAATTTATATGATATACTAAAAAAAATATTTGCGAAAAAATCTTTTTTCATAAAACACTAATATTTCGTTTTTGGACATACGGGGTGATTCCATATAAATTTGTTTGTATTTCGGGTACTAGCGTCATATAAAATTATAATAATTAATATATATATATACAGGGTGGCTCACGCTCAACGGGACGGAGCTTTATGGGAAAACGACCAAAGATATAAAAAATTCGTTTGGGAGGAATACGTAGGTTACAGACGGCTACAATTTAAAATTTGTTAGATGTATACAGGATGTCCTACATAAGAAAAAAAAATTAGTTCATTAAAAATTATTCAAACAAGAGTAAACAATTAATTTCTGGGAGACTTTTTTTCCTTAAAAATTCAAATAAATCGAAAACTAATAATAATAGTAATAGGGAACCTTTAGTTAACTGACATTATTTTTGATGTAGTTTTTAATTCTAAAATAAAAAACAGGGTGTTCCATTAAAAATAATATAACTTTGTATATTTTCTCTTATATATATAGAGTTACATATCTAAATAAATAAGTTGTTTTCCCCCGATAAGGAGTTTCCGTACTTCCCACAAAAATATTAATTGGTTCTATTGTTCTATTGTTTCCTCTATTAACATATCAAGTTTTCAGAATTTCTCTTCCTTTGCCATGACATGTCTTATAGCGTTTTACCAATTGTCCGGTGAAATTTTTAATATAAAGTCACATACAAAATGGTTGACGACCATCTTAAAGTTTAAATGTATTGTTCTCGCGACATGTTCCTTCATTTAAGCCCAGGTTCAATGGGGTTAAGTTCACTGTGATAAGGTGGTAACCGCAACACTTTAACTCTATGTTCTTTTGCTATTTCATGTATACTATACTTCTTAAATTTTGGTGAATGTTGTTTACATAACTGCAATAGCTCTTTTTTGAGTAATCCCTCTTCTGCCACTATTTCATTGATTATTAGCCAATCGGAGAGTTCTTGCTTTTTCCATTTAGTGTTAGGTAACGGTTCCTTTAATCTTGAATGGTAACTGGCATTGTCCATAACTATTACAGAACTGGTCGGTAATAAATCTATCATTTAATTGAAATATTCCTCTAAAAACATCAGCAGTCATTTCTTCATGGTAGTCTTTCGTAGAATTTGTAACAAATTCTAACAAATCTCCTCCAATATGAGTGATAATTAAACAGCGACCATTTGGAAGTTTTAAGCCAGTAAACAAACCTTCTATAAATGCCTGACGAGCATTTATAACTTTTTATCTTGCCAAACTTTTTTTACATTTATCCATGTTTCTTCCAAATAAAAAATATTTTGGCTTCTCTTCTTAATTTTCTAATTTTCCTTAAATACTTCCTCCTCCAACAAATAATTTCATCTTTATCTATGAGCCCAGATTTTCTATCGTTCTTCTTCCAAACGAAGTCTAATGCATGTAAAGTTTTCTACAATTTGTATCTTTTAACGTTTGGCAAAGTTTCGTCTCCATTCATTTCTACTAAAAGTTTATCTAAAGTAGGTATCTTTTTTGTAAATAAAATGAATGCACTTTTCTTCGGATCAGTTGTTCCATAGTACCGTCTATTTGAATGGGTTTTCTTCAAAAGTCTATTAAAAGTTGCTTCGCCAACTCCGGTCATATTTGAACACTTAGAAACTATACTCCGAACAGTACTATTGAAATGTTCATGTACAAGAGCATCATGTACATTTAACACTAAAGTTTTCATTTTGAAACAACAAATAATGCTAAACATTTTATTTTAGAAATTCTCCGTCACTGATTTATGTAGTTATATTGTTGTTTATCTCCTGGATCATGAAATTTTGCTATCATTCATTATCAAATAAAGATGGCATTAGTGATACTAATTCAAGAATTTGAAATTCAAATATAAGGTTAGAAAACCTTGGGGTACCTATCTATTTTTAATAATTAAAAAAACAAAAATTCTAAATTAAACAAAAATACTTCTGACTTCTGATGTGATATTTTCTAATCTTGAACTTTAGATGCGTTATTATGGCTTTAAAAAAAATATTAAAATGTTTTCAAAAACATTACATTATTTCTTTGCTTATTCGCAAATTTACCTATCCCATTGGACCTTAATGAATAAATTTCACTGTGAAGTATCTACTCTACACTACATTACTTTACTACCTACATACCTAGGTATCTACCTGTTACGTATATACATTCTAGATATTCTAAAATCGACTTCAGAAACCATTTGCATAAAATGAGTTTGAAGATTTCCCCGCATATCAAATAAATTAGAATTTAAAATACAGAAAGTTTCAATACTTGAACCAAATAAAAAGAATAATATATGATTGAATATCTTATTAATAAATATGTAAAAACTATTTGCTTAGTTAATTCTCAAACTTGTTTACCTTTCCGTATAGATAATTGCGACGATTGGATTCCGGTTACCGAACTCCATATTTTCCTCAATCATTTTCTATTTAACGACAGTTATTTTATTCGAAGTTGGATCGATATGGTTTAATTTTGTAAAAGCCATAAATTGTATATGGTATGTTAAAAGTATCTGGTAAACAGCCAAAGAACGGCATTGCAAGACCTCGGCCGTTTCAATTGACCGGTAAGGGTGAAAAAAATTAACATTATTGTATTAAAGCTAGACCGTTCCTGGCATACTAAATAAGCTAAATATCATTAAAAGGGTCTATTTTATAAGATTTATCTAGTAATTACACCAAGTAAGTATTTTAAAAGTAATAAAAAAGATTTCTAGAGGTGTGGCCCATATATCCGTAGGGAAATCTGTAGTTAAACAAAGTATTTATTTATTTATTTAATTTTTATATGTCCTATTTGAATCCGTGATATTTCCCACATACTCTGACACACGCTGTATATATGCGATTTACAAAAAATAAAAGAAACATTTTAAAGTAATTATCCGATATTTAAATGCAACTTTGAAAAAAAATAAAAGTATAGAACGAACTATAAAACTAGAATGTACATATTTCGAAGCTTTATGTATAAGGCTGTGAATTGTAGTGATTTTGTATCCTGTAAATTTTATTCATAAAAGTGTGGTCGTAGAAAAATGTAGGTGTGCAATGTGTGCGCTTTGCATACTTGTTGCTCAAACTAGTATTTTAATCTAGAAAAATCATTAAGTCAGTGTCACGTTAATTAACACATTTTCATAAGCTTTTATTGTATTCCATAAGAAAGAATTTTGTTTGAAAAATAAAAGAGAATTTTTTTTTAATTATTAATCCTGTAGTTGTATGATTCCTGAGTAGGTAAATTGAAAACTTAAAACCATCTAAAAGTATAATTAAAAGTGAAATATACATACATTCTCCAAGCTAAATATAAATATAATAAATTGAAGTTTATATGGCACCACTTCTGACTTTCTAACCTAAAAATAATCTTAGAAATCAGACAAGGTGCTAAAGACTGCCGCGATCCTGAAAAATTAGCCACACGTAAAACGTCACTTATGACGTCATGGTTTGTTTACTTCTCGATACATTTTTTACAAAATATTAACATATATCTTGATTTATTTGTAAAATAGGTGTTTACAAAAAAGATGATTGTTAAGTATAAATTGCCATATCTTAAACGGAGGGAAATTGTAAATTACCTTCTACAATTTATATACAAAATATTGCAACAAATATCAGGCTTTCCATTAGTAAAATTTCAAACTTTTTACTCATCTCAATGAAAATATGGATCGAACGAGCTAAAGCACAAGGAATATTTTGCATGCATGGGCAGGATCTCAGGATATGAGATTTATGAATGCATTTGGCATGATCACCAACATTTGTAAAAAATGGAACAATATTTTTACCATTTGTATTATACCTCTATTTTCTTTTCTCACTGCCACTGTTTTGCAAGGATATTTAGTGCTATTTTTATTTTGAAAGTATTTTTTCTTTGTTTTTACAAGATTTAGAGGTATTTTTATCTATATATTTTATTTTGAAAGTATTTTTCTTTGCTTCTTTAATAAAAGTCTTGTTAATTTAGTTCTATATTTTATAAATCTATTTTTTCATTACAAGTTTGCAGTTTTTTGTATTTTAATGTAAAGTTCCCCTTTTTAATTATTAATAGATTCCATGAGCCCATAATACATAATATTCTTTATGTTTATCTCTCTTGTACTAGTTGTTCTGAACTAGTTTTATTTTAATGTCTCCTATATACCTTTTTGAGATTTTTTTTAGGAAAATTCACTTTAAAAAATGGTTCATGATAAACAATAATTTGTTATTTTTAAAGAATGTAGCTACATTTTTACTACAAGTAAGAAAAGTACGAGTATAAGAATTGTGATTTTTTTTTTCGACCTCGAGTTTTTGATTGACCTTGGTTTTTGGGGTCCCTTGAATCCGTTTTTCCCATTTTTGCAATGATGTCTATGTGTCTGTATCCACAATAACAAAGTAGATAAAGGGAACTTAGGATTTAATCCATCTTGTGGAGAGGTGACTAGATTTTGAGCATAGTCTGAGAATAAAATACAAATTAATATTAAAATTACATTAAACCCAATATTTCGTTCTTGTAAATAGGGCATTTGGCTTAATACAGCTTTCTTACATAAGCAGTTTATTATGTGTTAACAATATAATATTAGTGAAGGTTGTTTTATTCTTCCATTTTCTTTTCTTTAAAAAAATGTAATTCCACAATTTAATTCGAGTTCTACATCGTTTATATTATACTCATTAGTAAACCTCTCCCAAAATAAGCCAAAATTTAAAATTGATAACTAGAAAACTAACCTAAAAACAACTGTCATACCGAGAGGAAAACGTTCGAATTCCATGACGTCACATCCATGACGATACTTTCATGATTTTTAACGTGTGGCTAGTCACGGCGAACATACATATGGCACCATAAATAAAAAAATAAAAAGTTTGATGATTTTCTCATGAACACAATTATTATATTTTAATTATATTTATATGGGACCACCCCGCAATTAGGTACTCCTTTATTAACAAAAAATTCTAGAAAACGGACAACGTGGTAAAGAATAATCGCTGAACATACATAAAAAATAATATTTCGACGAATTGAGAACCTCCTTTAAAAATATAGCATTTTTTTGTCAGGAACCGCTATTAGAGAGTGAAGGTCTTCGAGAAACAAATGTGCCAATTAAATATCAGACTCAGGTCACCCACGCCCGATGGATAGTTAAGAGAAAAATGCTAGGAAGGAGATCATTGTTCCAATTTTGCTCCTCCTTAAATTAAAACAATTTGATTATGTGCATTTATGTTCAATTATAACAGTCATTTTTGCTTGATTTATTTTTATCTACCTTCATCGAAATTATTGTGATAATTTAAATTAATATATCCATCTAATGTTATTGCATTTATTCATAAGTACAACCGAAATTTTTATAGATGGTAATAATGGGTATTAAACAATAGCCTTTGGGTACTCGCCTGATGTTCCCCATTATATTAATAATAAAATAATGATGATAACATCACGATGCCAGCACGCTACGTTGCTCTCTATTATGGATGAAAGACACAACTCGGATTTTATCTGAACTAAATTAGTCAATTTATGAAATTTGATGGATCATAAAAATTGACACAATTCACAGTTTGATATTCAAAAAAATGTTGTAGTTTTAATACGGAATTGAATTTAATATTGATCTGGGTTTAAATGTCAGAGATTATTGAAGTTGATTTTTTCTATACCCACATGCATATTATTCACTTTGTGCGCAAACTATAGAATGCTTAAGATATTACAGTTCGAAATTCCTTTAATTGACCATATTACTTTTTCTTTGGAAAGAAAGCATTAATTCCTGATTTTAAGTTAAGCTCCATAAATTCATATTTTAATTTAAACGATACTTAAGCGCAGTAAAGTTGCAACAATTAAACAATACAATTTATATTTAGAATTAAATAAGTTAGCTAAGATTTTTGACCGTATTAAGTTATTAAAGTTATAAATAAATACGTTACAAAGATTCATATGTGAATTTTCAATTTCTGTTGATGTGATAGATACTCATCTGCGTTTTAAAATATCAATACATCGCTTGGCTTTGGCACAAAACCCTTTGTAGTAAAACTAATAATTCGAATCAGGATCTTGATATTATTATTTGCCACTGGTAAAATCTTAAATTTTAAAAAGCGTATTATATTAATAAGAAAATTAATCATATTTTAAATAAATAAATAAATAAATAAATAAATAAAGTGTAGCTTTTAAATTAATAAACATATTCCAAATAATTTAAGATTCCTTGATTAAACAAAATTTCTCACCATTTATTTGGTATTCTGTCTCGTACTTTCATGTCTCTAATAGCTCTGCTCTCAATTAGTTCTGGTAAGGCATATTGCATAAAAAAAATTTGAATATTATTTTGCTTCTTTTCTTCTCAAAAGCTGTCATTATCAGGAATTTTCTCCACTTTTATTCTTTCAGGAGTCCAAACGCACAAAATGTAAAACTCCATTTGTGTAATGTACAGCTAGCCCTGAATTTGAAAATACCAATTTTGATTCTGTTATTGTCCTTTTCTTAAAAAGTTATTTCTTTACTGCATATTCCTTCTTCTACAGTCATCACTCTAGCTTCATATGGACATTTTAATTATATCATAGAGTTTTGTTTTTTGTTTTAAACTCCATCCGGACTGGCAGCAACATAAACAAATTCGGAATATTCGGAATAAAAAGTCCACATTTAAAAACTTTTCCTTGCAAATAAATTTCCAAAACTTATTTTGTTCTATATTTATTGTACATGCTATATTGGGTGGCTTTAGTAAAAAATAAAAGATTTTTTAAAGAAGACGTTTCTTTTTTTTACAAATGTCTCCAAATTTTGAAGTAGTGACACGTTTTCGTATTTCATTGTACCAAAATGCACAATCAGCTTGATCTCGTGTCACATTAATTTTTTTCTCACCTATAAACATTGGCAAACTTTTTAGAAAATCTTCTTTTACAACGTGTATCTAAGAATGCGACAGATTAAAGCCACACGCGTGAGTAAGAAAAATTATTTACTTAGTTTGAAAAAATATACATTACTTTAACTAATTAAGGAGTTTCACCGCTTATTAAGAATATTCGTCTCTACTGATTTATATTTATTTTCTTATTTTTTTTTTGTGCAACTGATTGTAAATAAAGTCCACTATTATTTGGGTTTCGTATTGCTCCACAGTGATTACCGTTTTAAATATATTATTTTGTATAAACTTCCTCTGTTTCTTTTGACTATACTTCCTCTATCTACCTCTTCCAGAATCAACTGTAGGATAAAAAATACAAGGTAATTACACCGTTTAGGTTGACTAAGGTAGGTATTGGTGTTAAGGTTCTATTATGTACTGCCCTTTTTGTAAGTGACCGCCTAGAATGTATTTACTTCACTGGGGTTACTTTGAGTGTACTCGAGGGTCACAGAGCAAACTGCGTTAACAAAACTGGCACCCGGGAAACTCTTATTCTAAATAATAGCCTGACCCCACCGATGACTTCCACTTCACCACAAGTGAAACAGGAAGACATGTCACAACACACCTAACAATAACACATAAAATGTAAAATAATAATAGTAAGCAGTGTAGTTTTGTGAATAAAACAACAAACAAGACAAGCTTAGGCTTGCATGGTATTGACTACTTTAAAATATAAAGTACTCGAAATGTTTCGAGTAATGAGTCCCATCAGGATAAAAGTACTTTTGGGTAGTAATTACCAGTACAATGTTGAGTACAATTTACTCGACCACTGCCCAGCTCTGAATGTAAGAAACCCAATCATGTATAACAAAAATGGAAAATTTCTCTCCATAATCCTTTTAATAGTATGTCATATTCAAACATCAAAGCTCTGTTAATTTTTCTGTACCTAACAAATATGTTAACTTTTTAATCCTGACTTCAGTAAAACGGTATAGAAACACAATGCTATTGAATAGAGAGAAACAATCCATAAACTCCCCGAATTTAATTTCAATTTCCATTTTCAAGAATCTAATCACTTCTGTATTAATACACTACATTTTGACAGATAAAAAAACCATGTCATATAATTTTGGTCCCCAGCCATATCAATATATATTTTTCTACCTTATCAACGTTAATTATATTCCACATTCACTGCATTTATATAAATTTTGTTATTCCTATCACCGTATCCAATTATTGAAAAAAATAACTTAATTAGCTTCGGTTGGTAGGTACTTAAAACGGACCCACACTAAGTGCTGTTACAAATTAAAATAGGAACGTGACTCGGTATTACAAAAAATAACGTAATTTTTCGGATGCCGTACAATAGAATTACTGAGTAATTTTAAGAACCAATAATTGGCATTGTTGATGGACTTATTCTCCAAGAAGTCTTTGTTTTCGAGGAACACAAATTCGTATATCCGGAAGAAACAATTGAGAGTCAGTTACACTGCTGTGATTTGTTATGCTAATTTTGTTACATATCGTCCATTCATAGGAAAATATGTGTCCGGTACGAGATGTTGTATAATCAAAATAAATTATTTTTCTTTTTTAAGAGTGTAATGGACCAATCGCTCATGAATCTGATTTAACCTGTATTCTAAAACAAACTATTGAGGTAGAACGGATGAAGATGAGTAGCATTTTTTTAATGATATTGACAATGGAAATTACATCCAACGGTCAGACTTATTCTTTGTATTGTACATTGCATAATTTACAATAAAAAAATGAGAATACCATTTATAAAAATTCGATCAACAGTTGCAATGGTTACTAAATATATCGCCGATAACATTGACAGCAGGGCATCGATTTTCCAATGGGTAAGAATTCCACTGCTTTTTTTCCAGTGGTATTTTAAAACGATATTTTCCACTAGGTTAGGAATGTAATACCTATGGGAATTTTGATTATTCGTATATCTAACGTATATCTGGTATTAAATACAAAAATATTGGAAACTTACCAATAATAATCAAGATATTTCAATTAATTTAAGTTGTTGTGTTGAGAACAATGATTCTCCTCATGTTAATCATAATAAATAATGTCAATTTTTGATTCTTGTTCTTTTTTGCGATAAAATAATTATGATGATCGATACAACGATGGATATAAAGAAAAAAAAATATGTCGAAAACTAAAAAAAAAATGGGGATATATTATTGTTTCCATATCTGTAAGTAGATCAGAGGACGTCTCTTTTGATAGTCTTAATAATTTTATAATTTTGGTTTCATTTAGCTTAGCTCAAAAATATATTGTGGCATTATTTGCTTTTCTTTCTGCCTCTTCTTTATGGTTTAATTGGAGAAGTTAAATAGCCTTTATCCTTTTCAAAAAAGAAGGTACATTAGAAATTATAATATTAATATTTAAAGTAACAAGAAAATAGCTAATGTCACTGGTGACAAATTAACTTTAATTCTGTAGAATCCATTACCAATATTCTCATTGGAAATTTAATTTCCCATGCCAAATACCAAGTGTATTTGCTCCCATACTTTTCATGAGAAAATATTTCTAGTGGATGTATCGAGAATACAAAATGTAAATTCTAATAGGAAATATATTAAAATACAAGTTGCAGAAGGCCACATATTCCCGCACGAATTCGAAATTTGGCCACGAGCGATGAAGGAGCGAGTGGAAGAACAAATGAGTGCGAGAATAGCCTTCTGCAACTTGTGTTTTATAATATTTTCTCGATTTTCGGATTTATATACCGGTTTTTTAAATTTTTGTGGTCGTTGTTAGTTGGGGATTTTTTTTGCAAAATATATCAGTTGGTATCACTTAGTTAGTTACTAACCAGTCAGGTGGAATGCGCTAGTCACATACTTTGATTACTATACGAGGCAAGAGAGAGGTCCGACCACATACTTTGATTACTATACGGGGCAAGAGAGAGGTCCGACACGCCCAACATTGGGCGCGGCCATTTTGAACCCTATGACAAAGTTTATAGCTAAAGAATCAGATCGCTCACTCTGCGTCGGCACTTTTTATCTCAATGTTCCAGTTTATACACTGCGCAACTCAGATAATACAATATATGACAACCACCAATAATAAAACAGCAGTCTTCTGCGTATCCTGAATTTGATTCCCTGGAGTGGATGTTATTTTGGAACTTTCAACTGGTCCGAGTGAGCTAACTGATTTTTTAGCAATAAACTGTGACTCCAAAAATAATATTCACTGACACTGACAGCAGCAAGCAAAATATCAGGTGCGTTTTAATCATCCGGTTCTGCTTCCGGAATTGTCGGTTCAGTCGTTCTAACCTATCAGATTAAAACAAGCAAACCGACAATTCCGAAGCAGAAGCGGATGATTAAAATGCACCTATTAAAAATATTGTGCCAAGATGCAGGCAACACGTAATAAGGGTAATAACTACAAGAAGAACTACAAGAAGAATTACAAGAACTACAAGAAGAACTACAAGAAGAACTACAAGAAGAACTACAAGAAGAACTACAAGAAGAACTACAAGAAGAACTACAAGAAGAACTACAAGAAGAACTACAAGAAGAACTACAAGAAGGACTACAAGAAGAACTACAAGAAGAACTACAAGAAGAACTATAAGATGTTTTAATAACTTATGTAAAACAGTTTAAAACATCTCCATAATCACTTTATTTTACTATACACTTCCTTGAGAAGATAGGATTAGAAGGGTCATTATATGGATTGAATCATTTATTCTCTGCATTAGCGACAGAAGGGGCTCAATAGATCTTTTAGGTCGCAGTGTATTAACACACCATTTCCAACATAACATAACATATGTATTATGTAGTTTTTAATAAACAATATGAAATGTGCGAAATTATAAAACATCTTAAGTCGTCCATGTACAAACGATAAGGTTTCAATGAACCTAATTTGTATCTTATGTTTATTTAATATACATCTTATAATGAATATCCTCTTTTTTGAAATGTAATCTGTATTTTTATTTTTCTAATCTTCTATAGATAATACAACAACAAATTTTATATGTGTTGAAAGAAATAATAAACTTATATTAACTACAAGAAGAACTACAATAAGAACAAGATAAATGGTTAAGAACTATAAGAACTACAAAAAGAACTAAAAGGGGAACTACAAGAAGAATTGCAAGAGGAATAACAAGAATTATAAGAACTATAAGAAGAACTATAAGAACTATAAGAAGAACTATAAGAAGAACTATTAGAAGAACTATAAGAATAACTATAAGAAGAACTATACGAAGAACTATACGAAGAACTATAAGAAGAACTATAAAAAGAACTATAAGAAGAGCTATAAGAAGAACTATAAGAAGAACTATAAGAAGAACTATAAGAAGAACTATAAGAAGAACTATAAGAAGAACCATAAGAAGAACCATAAGAACTATAAGAAGAACTATAAGAAGAACTATAAGAAGAAATATAAGAAGAACTATAAGAAGAACTATAAGAAGAACTATAAGAAGAACTATAAGAAGAACTATAAGAAGAACTATAAGAAGAACTATAAGAAGAACTATAAGAAGAACTATAAGAAGAACTATAAGAAGAACTATAAGAAGAACTATAAGAAGAACTATAAGAAGAACTATAAGAAGAACTATAAGAAGAACTATAAGAAGAACTATAAGAAGAACTATAAGAAGAACTATAAGAAGAACTATAAGAAGAACTATAAGAAGAACTATAAGAAGAACTATAAGAAGAACTATAAGAAGAACTATAAGAAGAACTATAAGAAGAACTATAAGAAGAACTATAAGAAGAACTATAAGAAGAACTATAAGAAGAACTATAAGAAGAACTATAAGAAGAACTATAAGAAGAACTATAAGAAGAACTATAAGAAGAACTATAAGAAGAACTATAAGAAGAACTATAAGAAGAACTATAAGAAGAACTATAAGAAGAACTATAAGAAGAACTATAAGAAGAACTATAAGAAGAACTATAAGAAGAACTATAAGAAGAACTATACGAAGAGCTACGAGAATAATTACAAAAAAGACAGCAAGTTTAATGTTATCGACACTCAGTGAAGGTTTATCCCTATAAAATTATTAAAATATGCCTAGGGAATGATTAAAGGAATACAACATTTCAGCAAAATCACATATTTCATGATGGTTAAACGTTTTGTAAAACGGAAGTAAAAAGGAGTAAGATCTGCTATAATAGTGGTTGATCTACTAAATCAAAACTGAAGAAAAAACTACCTCATTGACGCATTTTCAGCCTAAAAAACCAGTGTTTTATATCAAGATTCATAATCACTTACTATTATTTTACTCAAGTTTCTAACTACCTCATTAATTTTGTTTCACCAAAGTGAATCTAATTCCAAAAATGGAATTAACAATATTTTTAATTTTCATTCAACGAATATCAATCATCATGTCATCAATCAACATATTTCATTCGTTTTTTTTATATATACATGTCTTATATATCTACACTTTGCGGTTCTAAACATCACGTTTTTAGTACTCGTAGGAATGAACTGATTACTTACTATTTTGTATATTGAAATCCTATAAAGAAAAGTTAATTAATTTACTTGTTTTAAACTATGTTAGTATTAATATTGAAAGACATTTCAGACGTATTCCAATTTGTAGTTTTAGTAAACTGTAAACTGATTCACAAAAAATATTTCTAATGTAGTACCCTAAACGCGATGCAAGACTGTAGGATCATTTAAATTATTTCGGACTTATTTTTAAGAAGTGATGTTTAATTAAATATACCTGATATTAAAAATGTATTTATTATTTATTTGTCGAATAAAAAATATCGTACTCGTCATTGGATAATTAGAAATTACAAGTTTGAGAATATAACACTGAACTTTTCTCTAATTTTGTCTATTTCAACCTTAAGTAATCCACCAATTAAAAATCATGTCCACGACGCCACCGAATTACTCCGATATTTCTATTCTACGCTCATTTTCGCGTGAGTGAATTATCATGTAGCGCCATTTTTTTGATTTATTTGTTGGTGTTATTATCAATTTAAAGTGTTTTAATTATTCAATTATTTAAGTTGAAAATGCCACGATATATCGTGAAAAATTGTATACACAAATAAATATAAGTGCCAATGTTATATAAAAAAAAAGAAAAATATTCGTTTTCAGCGGTAAATATTTATTAACGTTTTGACATGAAGTCGCCATAATCCTTGGGCTGAATACATCAGATCCGCATTAAGGGGTTTCAATAAATATTAAGCATCAAATACATATTTCAGAAAACAAATTTCATAATCCATAAATTTACAAAAGGGCAAAGTTTTGAACGTTTAATTTAAATAAGTAAATGGGCATTGTTGCTAACGAAATTTTGTTTTTAAGAAGTAGTTTTATAAGAATATTTAATAAATGTGGTTTTTAGCCATTTTTGGTAAATAAATAAAAAGTAAAGAAGCATAGTTGCTAGCGAAATTTTATTTTTATAAGGTATTTTGATAAGAATATTAGATAAAATACAGGATGACCTTAAAATTGCAAGGTTCATTTTATTTGCGGTCAAATCGGAAGTGACATTTGAATCTTAAGTCTTAAAACATAGTCAAACGCACAATATGATCTAGTATGGGCCAAAAAAATACTAAAGTAACGGGAGTTAGTCACATTGTTAATAAAATGTTACATTTTAAACCCATAAACAACTCGAAAAAAAATCTTCGTTTACTAAAAATATCTAAATTCTAGCAATATTTATTATTTATTATACAATCGAATGCGGTTTCAAAGATAACGGGATCAAAAAATCCGAATCTCTAAATTTTAGAGCTAAATGCTCGGATAAAAGCAAGCGACCGATGGGGGTTACAAAAATAATCGATTTATCGATTATGCTGTTATTTTTTTATGAAAATCAATTTACACCCTATTTTTAATAAATTATTTTCGTTTTTTAAGATAATGTAATAATCAATTTTAAAGGAAGGAAAGAAAGAAAGACAGAAAGTAGATTTTTTCAAAATAATCGATTGATTGAAAGAAATCGATTTATTTAGAAAAATCGATTTATCATTTAATCGGCATTTTTAATTAATCGATTATTTTCGATTTTGCGAATATTTTTGATTAATCGATTATTTTCGATTTTTCAAAGGTATTCGAATAATTTGTTTTAAAGAAAATACGAAAAAAATAGATTATATCAAAATAATCGATTGATCGAATATAATCGGTTATTTTATATAATCGATATTTCGGTTATTTTTTTAGAAATATCGATTTATCGGTTAATTAGCTTTTTAATAATCGATTATGTTCGATTTGTCGATTATTTCGATTTTTTAAAGTAAAATTAACAAAAAAAAGGATTATTTGAAAATAATCGATAATTCGGTTATTTTTTTTTTGGAAAATCGATTTATCGTAGAGCTTCTTAATTAATTGTTATTTTCAATTAATCGATTATTTTCGATTAAACTATTATTTTTGAATAATCGATTTTAAAGGAACTATGATAAAAATATATTATTTGATAATAATCGATTGATCTAAAATAATCGATTATCAGTTGATCGTCTTTTTAATTATTCGAATATTTTCGATTTTTTAAAGATTATCGAATAATCTTTTTAAAGAGATACGAAAAACAAATAGATTATTTAAAATAAACGATAAATATTTTATTATTTCTTGTAAACACTGATTTATCTGTTAATTGGATTTTTAATTAATCGATTATTTTTGATTTTTCAAAGATAGTCGATTTTAAAGGAAATACGAAAAAAAATAGATTTTTTAAAAATAATCGATTGATCTAAAAAATCGATTATTTTCAATGATCGACAATTTATTTTAATAATCGCATTTCTAGAGTATTATGTGACTCATCCTCTGTATTAATTAACAGAGCCGACGAGACGGGGGTAGCCGAGACAAATTCCCGGGGCATGGGCTCAAGTGGGGGCCCAGCAGCGGCATAAGGGAACCCGGCAGCCTTAGGTGACGTCGTTATTTTTTTTTAGAAGTTCGCTACAAGAGCATCAGAGAGAGAGGACCTTTTTTGACCTTTTTTTACATTTTTTTTTTACCTTTTTTGACCTTTTTTTTGACCTTTTCTTTGACCATTTTTTTAACCTTTTTTACCTTTTTTTTTAGAAATATGATATTAGAGTTTAATTTTTTTATAAAATTGTCGCGGGACCCGACTAGGAAAATTGTCTTGGGGCCTGACCTGGCTCTCGGCGGCCCTGTTAATTAATAGTCCTAAAGTACAAAGCTTTAATATACCTTTTTTTGAGGTTACAATACGAAACAGCATTTTCTCATTTTGACTATTTTTTAATATTATGTAATACCCGTAGAAAAAATATAATATTCAACTCACAAGGTTTGATTTGCAGTATTCGCGTGCATACATGCTTTTTATATATTACTCGTAGACAATGAGTACCATTTCTTGCTCGATTAACAATATTCTATTTCAACATTTTAGTCTTTTGGAGAAAAGTCCGTAGTGAATAAACGCTAACGAAATATTCTATAAAAGGTCTTCTCTCTACATAAAATGTCGTGGCATCTGTTTGATTTTAAAAAATCACGTTAATTTTATTTCATAATACAAAATTCCATTAAACATTATTTAATTATATCTAATAGTTCATTATGATGCTAATAAACAAAGTCCATCCCTGTCACAGAGTTCGGGTCTCCGCCTAGTTCCCCACACTCCGTTAACCTTTCTTTAGAAATTGGCAACATTTGCACAGGTTAAACACCGGTGTATGTTATATCACTGGTCTCTTTTATCTAAGTATAATATAAACCTCTTATTTCGGCAGGTAAATGAGATTATATTGCGTCGATTACATTTGCCAAACGAATTAGGTGTTAAATATGTGCAACTTGATTATCACAAATATTTTGATAATTGATGTTCGTTTGACTCTAGAAGAATTGAGTATAATGGTAAACAAAATTAATGGTCATTATTTTTTTTTTTTTAATAAAAGATGTTACAGTGAGACATCCTGTATAATAATCTTATACTCAGTACATTAAAAACAACTCTTGTTTTAAAAAATAAAATGAACGAAAGTTATAGACCATCCTGTACAACAATTAACATGCCGTACATTAAATATATTTTTTTAAACATCAAGTGCTCGTGAATTTAAGGATATACTGCATAATAATGTATTATAAATATTAAACACTGTTATTTAAAAAAGTAAATCTCTATAAACTTTATGACATTTTGGGACGTTCTATAGAATTGGTGTTTAATGAATTACAGTTATTATTTCTATTGCTTTCATATTTTCCTTTGTGTTATACCATAAAACAATCACTTGTTATTATTCGAAAAGTACTTACAAATATGGTGAATTTTAATTAAAATACACCTCCACTTTTTCCCGTTCTATTATTATCTTTAAAAATAGTAGGCACGCCTATGATCGCACAAACTATTAAATATTTGTTCACAAAGGTAATAGGTATATACTTATGTTGACGATTTTTCACAGCTTGTCTATTGAAGATGCGATTTGATAAGATTCCTTCTAGATTGGACAATGGATAAGCGTGCTTATAGTATTTGGAATACAATACTATTTTTTTGGGAAATTTTGGAGTACTTACATACTATTTCAATTTGATTACAATAATTTATTTAGATTATATACAAGCGATGGGATGCAGAGTTCATATGGCGTGAAATCAGTCTTTGTTGCGCTTAATGTTTGAAGTTTTCTAATTAGTTGAATATTAAAATTGATGAAATTACCAAAGGCATAGCTAGAAAAGGCCTGTTTCTGTGATATATTTTCCTTTTTTAAAAATCACCATTATTACAGGAAAATGACGAAAAACTACTAGACTAATCCATTCATTCATAATGATGTTCTTTTTTGTTGTAATTATTCAGATTGTGTTTATTATTATCCAGACACAGCTGTACGTCGGCTACTGCATTAGAAAGAAGGAGACAGCTGCTAATTTGGAGTGGGGATGGTTTGTGCGAGTATGTTTGTCTGAGGAGCGGGAGTGCGCTTTATAAATGAATCCGTATTTACGTCTACTACGCTTG